TTCCCACTCATCCAACCGTGGGTCAAAGACCGTATTTTCAAGAGTAAAAACCCTCACTCCACGACACCTCCTGTCAAACCACACAGCCTTTGGGAAGGAGGTGAAAACAGAGGCACACATGGCTGAGATTTTCTTGCTTCTCCCTGCCCGTGTTCCAGCCAAGCTGCCAGGTCTGCCCTGTGCTCTCCATAGCAAAGCTTGTATCCTTATTTAGTTCCTATTAGCACTCACTGTTGCCTACACAGGTAATTTCCTGCGCTGTGTCCCACTTTCTCGGCAATACAAGCTCCCATTCAGCAAGGCACTTACGCACAGGAACTCACTGCCTTCAGCAAGAGCTAAGCACAAACTCCAGAGCTTTGCTGACTTAAGCACAGAGCTGACAATTCCTTTCCCTCTGGAGCACCTCGGTTCGCAGGAGAGTCCTCCAAAAAATTCCTCCCTCCTTGTTTTTCTAGTAATTTCTGTCTTGCCCTGAAGCAAACATATGTGACAACACTGTTAAGAGTCAGAATTCTACGGACACTGTAGAAAAAGATGTGTGCCAGGCACACACCCCTGTCAAGGTAGATGAATAGATGCAATAACAAAAGTGATCCTGATCAGGTCTCTTCTCTTCTGGACTAATTTTCCCCAAGATGGCACCAAACCAAAAGTGGTGGCGCTGCTCTGATTGACAAATCAGATCCAGTTGACTGATCAGGAGAAAAAAAGACAACTGCATGACTCAGTTTCCCTCTGTCTTTACAGAGATGGAAGGATGCTCCCCAAATCCCTTAATAACTTGGCCCCTGTGGCCTTCTCCTCCTCCATGCTCTTATTTCTAGGCATCAAAACTTGTGCATCTCTCATTTGTGCTCCGAAAAAAAGAGTTAAGTTCAGTTTGGGCCTGTGATTCCTGTAGGGAATCCAACTGGAGACCAGGCAGGGCTCATCCCAATGCCAATGACAAAACTAAGCTCTTTCAGCTTTAGTTACGATGCAATGCCAACAGCCACTGCCATGTGCACATGGAGGTTCCTTCTGCTCACACCTCTTGTTTTATTGAAAACAATTTACCCTGGAGCACTACAATTAACTGCAGGGTAAGAGATGGTGGTGACGTACCCTGAGAAGGTGGAGCCAAAGAGTTTGGGACAGAAGACAGTTGTGTCTGGCCCCACAGCATTTGTTGTAACAATAAAAATCACCAAGGACGGCTGCCATTTCCCATTTCCTGTGCTGTCAAGAAGATCCTGAGAAAGTTCCAATTTTCAGTGAGATGTACAATTTATTTATTTATGAAGTGAGGGTATCAGAAATAACCCCTCCAGCCTCTTCTTCTCTTTACCTCCCCCGTTCCCTTCCCACCTCCCAGTTTCTAGCTGATCCATGAAATGCGAGAGGAACAATGTACCTTGGGAGGGAAAGGGTTCTTTGCCCTTCACTTGAGCCCTCAGCATCATGGCTGGATCAAAAGCCCTTTGGAAGAACTAGTTCTGGCTCAGGCCAAGTCACAGGCTCGATGCCATAATCCTTACATGGAAGTGTTACGCTGAGGGTCAGAATAGGTGATGATAAAGTTCCCTTCCAGCCAAAACAATCTCTGAACCTCCAAGGAAATCCACCATCCTCTGGCAAGAGCCAGGACCAGACTTCTTGAAGTGGAACAATGTCTGGCTCCAGAATCATAGGGGCAGCGCCTCTGAAGAGCTATGAAATCATCTCTTCTGCTTGGGAGGTTCGACAGCTACGCTGGCATTGCCTGTCAGACCACAGGACTGGAAAGCTGGGAACAAAACCAGAGTAGGTACCTTCAGAATGGCTTTAAAGCTAATGTTACACTGCTAAAAAGGAAAAAAATAAAAAATAAAGGCCCTTAAGCCGGCTTTTTAGTGTAGTAAAAGCGAATTTGGAGATTTCCTTTGAACATGGTAGAAAGCCGTTGTGCAACCCAGCCTGCTCAGCAGGCCCAAGGTGGGAATGGCAGAAGCTGCTGCAAGTCAGGACCAAGGTACCCGAGTGGAGCTGTGTGGGAGGCGAGGCCCAGAGTCACAGGAGAGCAGCAGCTTCAGAATGAACAGGAGCTGGCAGAGACTGATGAAGGCAGCTCAGACAGTATCTGTCTGTAGGAGGCCTGGCTCAATTCAAGGCCAATAACTTGTTGCCCTCTGAACACCACCAAGAGGACTGGAAACAAAGGCATATCTGCCCAGCATGGTTCACGTTGAGCGATTGCTTAAATGCTGCAGCAGAATGAAGAGCATTAAGAAAGGCAAGGAGCCACTTCAATGGCTGCAGGCGCACAGGGCTGCAAGTTTTTGCATGAAGCCCAAGTCAAAACCAGGCAGGCAACTGGGACATAGCTTTGAAAGGAAAAACAAATAAATTACTAGCCTTCATTTTCTCCCATTCAGTTTAAATTTAAAGGGGAGTCCATCAACTTTAAATAAATTATCTTTATAATTAAAAACATTTTCCAAGCCTTTGGATGATTAATAAGGCATTTTTCAAATTACTTTAATTCACACAAATTACGCCGCTTGTTTACCCCAGTCAATAATTTTTCTTCCAGAGAGATAAAGCTATCCCAGGAGGAGATTTCCCTCCAGGGACCAAGAGGAAAAGGACCCCAGAGAACTGCCTACAGCACCAGCAACACATGGGAGGTCTTTCACTGCAAGCGACAGAGCTCGTTACACGAGTCACGTCGCGTTGAACACTCACAGGACTTCTTTTGCTAAGCCTGACTCTTTGCCTGGGTGAGATGAGGAGACGTGAGCTTGATCAGCTCCTAGAGGCCTTAAGCTGTGTTTTGCCTAGACCTTGCCTGAGGTGCCAACCTTGCCAAGGGACCAGACTTTGTAAATCTAGCACGAAACCACAGCAGCGGCTGCACAGCTTCTGGGTTGAGTCAGGCTTGTGCTGGCAGAAGCCAAATGCATTAGAGGTGAGCAGGAGGGACAGGAGAATTTAAGACCCTCGTTTACATTTTCTCCTGCTTTCGCTGCCTTCAGCGCTATGGTTCCCTTCAGCTTTTCAAGCCCACACGCTGATGGACAGGAGCTGGAAAGCCAAGGAACACGTGCTTCCTCCATGTGCTGTTTTCCCTTAGTGAAGATGTATCATGGGCAGATCAGTAGCAAGGTATGATTTTTGAACAGCCTTTACAAAAAAGGACAGGAGATGGAGAAGCAGGAAAGGTCACACAGTAATTGTGAAGCAAAATGATCTCCTGTTCATTTTTCTGCTTTCCAAAAACAGCTGCTTCAAGCCTTTTCTCCTCCTCTGTCATTTGCAGACGCTGGAAAGTTTTTTAGCCCGTTATGAAATACAGTACAACAAATTCAACAAGAATTATCTTCCCAGTTATTTGATTCTATTTTGACACTACTTAAAACAGCTACATACATATTTTTATATATCTAAAAGCAACGGTGCATTTCCATTCCCACCCCAGCACTGCAGTCTGCCTTTGTGGTGCGAATGGATTTGCTGGGTCCCCTTTCCACAGGAAGGGCTGAGATGTCCTGACCCAGAAGCCTGCGGGTAGCAGCCACACCAACACCTGCAGGGTGACACAGTGACGTGGAAGCTAGGAACTGATCGTGCTGCCACATGCCCAGCACAGAGCATTGCTGCAGCCCTTTCCAAGGCTTTACAAATCAGGGTGCTCATGGTTTGACCCTCCAAGACTCCTGCAGACTCTCCAAAGACAGCAGTGATGTTTCTTCATCTTTACATTCTTTACTCTTTCTCCCGTTTCAAGACAGCAGTTATTTCATAACCTATGTGTCCCTGCAGTTGGCAGTTATTCTTAGGCAACTGTAAGCTACAAGTGTCTAGCTAACAAAATACACATGCTTTGTGTAGCATGAACTGCTCTTCAGCCAGCAGTGTACACACAGCAGACCTTGTTGCTTCATGAACTAAAGCATGGTAGGAGATTATCAGGCAAGGCTTTCCCTTCCTGAGAGACAAGAGCAGGCACTAGTGAGACTCACAGTAACAGAAGCAGCAGCAACCTGTAGTTGCTTAATGGTGGCCCGAATCTTTCAGATCAGATGCACAGAGGCATGTGAGTTTCTGTGGAAGCCTGACTTATATTAGTCAAATCAGCACTGAAAAGCACTACCACAAGATTTATTCTAATACGTGTTGTACCACACCCTAAAAATAACAAAAGAAAACAAGTTGAGATAAAAGGTATTTGCTGTCAAAGGTGGGGAAATACCTTCAGAAAGCCACAATGTTGGCTTCCTCTAAGAAATCAAACAAGAGTGGTAGACATTCTTCAGATTTCTTATCAAAGACAGGTGTCTTGTCTACTTGGGTTTAGCACACTACCATGACAGGGCAGTGCTGTTCATGACCTGAGGGCTGCAGCCAGGAAGAACAGTTTCTCACTGTTCAAGCAGACAAAGCAGGTAACTCTGTGTTAATCCTGGTCCTGTGAGCTGCTTGTAATACTTTGCACTCTGGAGGTGCCTCAAAACTGGCATCAGTCCCAAATCTTTGGCAGTCTAAACCTTGCCCCATATGAATTTACAGCACCTAAGCCACAGTGTGCTAGCTCCCTGGATGAACATCCTTGAGGAGAGTGAGGGCAAGGCAGCATAATCTGCTTTCTCCACAGGTTATCTGCATACCACAAGGCACCCATGGGGAAGCTGGCACCAAGAAACCAGCATGTGCTCAGTTCCTGCCCTCCATCAATGTATTTTAGCATGTGGACTTGCACAAACTTGAACGACTAGAAGAGAGCTGCCTGAGAATAGCTGGCTAAGGGATTGAGGGCCTAGTGACCAGTTGCAGAGAAGAACAGATTTACTCTTTGTATATTTTTTGTTCCCCAGACAAGAGTACACAACACAGAGGTAAGGTCAAAACTCTCCTTCTGTTTCATGTGGAAATCCAGAGTAAGAGTGACTTGCTACTCAACTTGCTCAGCTGCTGTAAGACAGCATGACCATTCTTAAGTTGTTAAAACCATAAATAATTATAAAAGCTCAGACCAGTAGCAAGGAATCTAAAAAACTGTTTGGTCTCCTTTTAGAGCATTCGTCCTTGAAGTGATGCCAGGCACTGTAAAAGGCACTGAGGTCCTGTGCGTGCTGAATTCCATAAAACCACATCTCACCAGAAGGAGATGCTGCACGTAGCCACGAAGAGGCTCCAATCTAAAAAGCACACCCCGTTTCCTCACAGCTGAGGGGTGGCAGGCTTGCGGTACTTGCACTGGATCCACACTCTGTACATCGTCATTTGTTTCCCACGGTTCACTTGCAATCGCCGATCAACCAGATTTTGGATTTTCTCCAGCCCAGCTGTTGTGAAGAGATCATCCAGTTCATCTGGAAGCAGAAAGGAGGAGATTAAGAAGCTTTCATTTAACTGATACCAGCTCACATTGCGGGCTAAGCAATGTGGAAAGATGGGCCAGAGGAAACTCAGTCTCACTCTGGCAGGGAAATGTAAAGATAAGACAGGACTTAACGACCGTACTATGGGGGGATTAAGAACACAGTTTCTCTAGTTTCCCTTGAGTTTACCTTCTGCCAAGGAAAGAAAGAATTATTTGGAAGACAAACAGAATTACAGAGACTCAACAAAGAGAAGACAGCAGCAGTTTCAGACATGGGTATCGCCTCTAGTAACCAATTAAGGGAGCATCTTCTGGCGAGTAGGGACAGATCCATTCCTTCCCCCTTCCCCCTCTCTCCAGAGGAATTTCAGAGTCTGCAAGAGCAAAGAATGGGATCAGACCTACGCTTTTAAATGGTGGCAATAAGACCTGTGCTGTATAGGCTGGACGGGAATGGGATTCATTAAGGTTAAGTTTGGGAAAAAAAAATCCTTAAAAACCACACCCAGTTGGGGCCCAATCAAAGCACTAAGAGCCCTCGAGGCTGCTTACACTTACACTGGCAGGTATTCCTGACCAAGCAAATAAAGTATCACAGTGCCCCAGCACACTGGCCGTGGGCAAAGCCAGACTGAGTCCTGCTGAGCAGCAGGGAGCTTGTTCAACTGCAGCCTGGGAGCACGTGATTCCTATGGAGTTTCTGGAGAGAAAGGCTAACAGGTCCCAGCTTGTGCTCTTTTATCAGATGCTTGCCATCATGAAGCGTTTGCCAAACACACATTACACACTAATTTTGTTGTGACAAACAAGGCTCGTGCAGTGGGGAAGGGAAGAGTTCGTTGCAGTTGTGCCACTGCTCTAAAACTGACCATGAAGCGGGGCCTGTGGCGGAAGCCACTGGAGGTGCCATTGGTGATAAGCAGGGAAAATACGACTGCTCAACACCA